GAACTTACGTTGCAGACGTCACTCAACGCATCTGAGGCCACATTGCAACCAAGTGAAAAACTTGAGCGATTGAGAGCGACGAGTCGGTTTTGAGGTGAAGGCCCTGTATGCTCGCTTTAGGCCATGGATCCTGCGAGCAGAATCGATCTGAACTTGACCCAATGTTGAGGGCGAACTCCTCTCTGCACAGGCGCTTGGCTCCGAATGGCTTCCTTTTGCCTCAGCAGTTCCAGCGGACCATGGGTACCTTGGAGTGTTTGCGCTGAACGGCATGCCTCCCTTCAGCGAATCTAGCAGTGAATTTGTATCTGGTCCAGCCAGATTTGCGGGCGGTCTCTCCTTGCGAGGTTTTCCCTGGGAATGCCGAGCTGAGATTGTGCAAATTTGCCCAGGTGTTTTGGGGCCGACGACTTATTGAGAGCACAGCGCGCGGAGGATATATGGGGCACAATGCACTCGCGTTTCTATGCTGCGATGAGGCTCTCAGATGACGCGTTCCTTCCAGAACATATGTTTCGCGTGCGTTGACCTGAGTTACAAGCGCGCGCAAAGTAGAGCGCATCGGCCTTGCGCAAAGTGCACCCAAACCAAGGTTTGATTCGAACGAAGATGGCATGCTGAGCTTCCACGAGTTTGCAACGGCCCTGGCCACGATGATTCGTGGCACGGAGGCCTCAAAGACCGGAAGTGAAACAAGTGAAACAGGACACGAAAAGATTTAACTCCGACTGAAAAAATGAAAAAACAATTAAGAACATGTAAAGGGCGCATCTCAAAAGGCACGCAGGGCAGTTTCGGAATTGACTTCAGGACGAGAAGCTGCGGCTGAGCTTCAACATGGCGGCTGGCAAATGCAGGGGCCTCAAAAGAAGCAAATGATGTGATACTATCAAATATGAACATATGATGTGAATGTTCCAAATGTTGCCACTGAGGGCAATTGGTGGATAGAAAGACAGCGTTTTAGCTGGAATACATCTTTCAGGAAGTGCAAAGCGCATGTGCCAAGGCCAAGCAGAGCACCTTTCTCTGCAGGACTTGTCATGGGCGACGTTTGACTGTGCAGTCTGTGAATGTACAGTCGGTGAATTCCAAGCAATTCAGTTCAGAAGAGTTTTTTTAATACTTGCTTGTCGTAGGATTTTCTTCAGCTCGGGGCCTTGCCTGAGAGCATAGGCAAATCAGCTAATATCAGCCAGTCGTTCAGACGCCTAAGCTCGGCTCTCCATGGCTTGCCACCGGGGTCTTCAGGCTTCGCGTCTCTGAGGCTTGTCCGCGCATGCAAGGGGCTAACATCCTCGCTTGTGGCGCTATCCAATGACACTTCCGAGAAGGACGCTACCTGACTGGCAGTCAAGTCACTCGCGTCCGCAAGTCAATTCGCCAGGATGTGGAGCGCTTGTTCTTCGAGCTCGTTGGCACTAGCGATGCGGGCCCCTCACATGTGCAACGGGCAAGCCACAAAAACATATTACGCCGCCAACCAGGTCATGACATTTGAGACGTACAAGGCAGTCAATACGCCTGACTGCCTGACATTACATTGGTCTCAAGCATTGCGCTTCGCAGTTCGCAAGGCAGCAGCGCAGCATGAGGGCTTCCTGATGTCGTTGGGCCTGGCGAGGGGCAAGGGTCCCATGAAATTTGCGAGCAAGTTAGACAAGTTCATGCAAGTTAGCAGATTTTGCCGAGCACCAGCCTAATGTCTAATACAGCAATACTTATGCATGTTGTGATGCCTTCAGACTGAGGATATCTAGATTTAGCCGATGTAGAAATCAAGTTGTTGCGCAAGGTCGAGCTGTGAGAACGCGTGTGGCTACTGGAGCCAGCACCCCAGACTAGGGCATGCTAGGTTTTGGGACTGTGTGAAACGCAAATGAGACTTCTTGCCCAATACACGCCCTCACTGCATTCTCCACATTTCAGTTTGTTGTTGTGGCATTGTTGAATCTGGCAAATCACTGTGTGACAGCTTTTGGAACATTGAGCCGTCTGAATACCCTTGCGGACTTCTTTTGTATCCCGTTTCAGTTGATCGCCCGTGTCGGATCAGACACAAGCGAAGACGCTGGAGTGTCAGGCAAGGGGCTGTTGGTTTGCAGCCCCCATTCCTCCCAACGAAAGATCCACGCTGCCAAACAACGTAGTCCTGTGGTGTCAAGTATGAACGGCAGTCAACGTAGTGCTTTCTGTAGGGGTTCTGCGTGGTTCAAAGGGAGCTTTGGTCGAGTCGTGAGAGGACTGACGGGAGCTTCACAAGAAAGCCTGCGAAGGTAGCTGCTTAAGGCACTCTAAGCACAGTCACAATGAGGTTGCCAGATATCGTTGCGGAGCCTTTGAGCTCTATCGAAAGTGGGCGTGAAATTGCGACAACTCGTAACTATGCTCTGCATTGATCTTTTCCAAGACGTTTTGCTCCAGCTTTGTCACTAGGTTGCTGAGAGAGAAGCCGCCATGGCTAGTAATGGATTTGCTTGGGCTGCTTGCCTTCCAAGTGTAGTTTCAATCGGCCAAACTGGGCTGGCACAGCAAGACAAGTTGGAGGACGAACTTGGGCTCCAGAGAAACTAGGACCAAAGCCATAAACCCTGAAAAGCAGTAAAGGGTCCTATAGAGCCCCCGCAATAGCCGAAGCGCAGCCAGTAAAGCGCTGCAGACGCGCGCTATGCAATTTGCAATGCGTCAAGTTGTCCGAATTTGTCCGAATTTGTCAATGCGTTCTTCTTAGAATTCTTGCTTGTCGCACTTGAGCACTTCCCAGGCTCAAACCGTGTCTCCGCCGAAGCCTCGATCCGATTCTCTGAGTGAGTTTGCGAAGCAATCCAAGGGTCAGCTCGCAATCGCGTCAGGCATGGTTTGCCTCGTAGACATGGCACTGCATGGCACTGCATGGCACTGCATGGCACTGCATGGCACTGCATGGCACATGGCACCATGCCAGGATGCCTTTGTGGCTCTGGCAGACATCACAGAAATGCATTCTCGTCCTGTTCCCAACTTTGGGGTGTGGCTGAAGTTCGTGACGGAGCCGGTAGGCTTGAACCGTGTTGACGAGCTCCTTCACAAGAAGGCTCGGACTTTGGACTTGTGACGAGTGATGTCAAGGGATTATCTCGTCAATTGCAGGATGTTTAATTGCCAGGCTGCTCAGACGGCAGACTTCAGCGAGGAAAGCTGACTCGACATGTGTACTTCTCACCCGTTGCAGCCTATAGGACACCCATGTTGTCAACTTCGCCGACGCATCTCCCCTGAGAAGGCCAGACCATTGCACATGTATTGCACGTGTACATTGATTTATTTGAGTTTTTAATGTCTAATGCCGAAGATCCGAGGCAACTAAATCCGAGTTTGCATAGACACGGGTCAGAGTGAGAGCCAAAGCGCTTGGGATACCCGTGGTCTTTCCAGGCCGGCATCTCCACAGGCCAATTTGGTCTCGCTTGGTGTTGCCGATGCATGGCAGGATTGCATTCGCAAGATTCGCAAGTTGCATGTTGCATGCTGAAAAGCGAGAGAACTTGCCGTGAGCCGTGTGAGGACTTGGCGAGATTTGTGGAGGAGTGGGATGTGCCGCTGCTGAGACCCGATATCCGATTCGCCGATCGCGTTCGAGTCGCGTTCGAGTCGCGTAGTCTGAGGCACTCCGCGGGAAGATCGGTGGGCTCCAAGGTCTCATGACTCTGCAATTCGATGCTTCGAATGCATCGAATGCATCGAATCGAATGCATCGAAGGATCCAGTGGGCTTCTCGGGGTGCGCGAGGCACGCTAGAACGGCAAGGCAAGGCATAGTGTCAAGCTGTCCCGATTTGTGAGGCGAGCCTTCCGCTAGATGACGAGGCCAGGCTTGTTGAATCATGGGCCCAGCAGTTTGGACACAGGAGATGGAGTCCAAAGTGACATCGCGCGCAATGTCGCGCATGAGCTCCAAGCACTCAGCTGTGCTTTGGTTTGCATGCGGTTCACCTTGGACGAGCGCAGTCTGCTTGCTCCTTGAGGAAACTGGCATCACCGGCGATGTGTGGCGCAGGCAACAGACGATGCAGGCGAGTGCACATGCGCCGTGCGCTGTGATGCGCTCGCATACCTGAGGCAAGCCATAGGAAGCAGCGCAGGAGTGACCTGGTGAGTCTTGCACGCTGACTTTGTCTCGCGTAGGCGTCGTTTGCTTGCTCCAAAGAAGGCCGGCTGCGCATTCGCATATCGGCCTTGCAATCATTCGCTTGAGGGACTGGCTGTGCACTTTGGCCACGAAAGCTGGAACATGGCTCCCTCCTCAGCTTGCCTCCGCTTGCCTCGGCTTGCCTCTTGGCCGTTTCCATTCCAATGCCCGAGAGGTGCTCAGCATGATGGTTGGAATCCGAATGCCGTTGCCTTGGCCGTCCTTGGCCCTTTGATGCACTAGCCAAAGGTCTGTGGCGCGTTGCAAGCATGAGATACATCGAGAGCTTCAGCCTGACCTACTCTCAGTTGAAGTGACAATGTGGCATGCGCTGCCGATGTTGTTCTCATTTGCTGATTGCTTGTCGCTGCGTGTCCCTGCTCTGTGCAGTCCTCAGGTGGATTATATTATGCAAGTGACAAACTCAGCCTTCGCATTTCGAGACCAGTCCTATGCGGGGTTTTGGCTTCCACTTGTGCGTACGCGAGGAAAAGTTTACCATTACTCCGCGCTTGGCAGAAGTCTTAGATGGCACATGATGCATTTTGCTCTGTGCAGCGTCGTGACAGCAATAGTACTAAGATGCCCTACAGAGATGAGCGGAAGACAACCCGGTTTGTCGACTTCGCGTGCGGACGCGTAGCTTTCTTTTTGAGTTCCTTTATCGGCCTGCTCACTTCAATGTGCGAAGTTTGTGAGGCCGATGGTCTTCCAGGAAATACGCTCACGATTCGGCATTTCGGAGGACCTGAACTTGCTTTGGAAAGCCCGCGTTTGGAAGCTTGGAAGGAAGAATATTTGCGATCAGTTTGGGCCTTAGCGAGACCTCGAAATCTCGAAATCTCGAAATCTCCTCGAAAGACGCACATCGCTCAGGTGGGCCCCGAGCAGCTCTTGGGGAATCTGGTCAGGCCCTGAGGCATCCTGGCCGTCAGGCCATTCGCTTGCCCGACCGCCGCATGCCGCCGCATGCCGCCGCATGCTGCATCGATGCCGCATCGAATGCCGCATCGAATGCCCCTTAGGTTTTGGGAAACCTGTCATCGTTGTCCGAGCTCTCGTCCGAAGGAAAGAGCGGTGCATCTCCAAGCGAAATGTTGAAATGATCTTTTGGCTTTCCCCGAGTGACCAAGGTGCCTTCTTCTATTACACGGCGGATGGCAAGTACATGATGAAGACCGTCACACCCAAGGAATTCGTACTTCTGCGAAAGATGCTCAAAGGGTGCGCACCTTAGCTCCCCTTTCCTCAATTTGATCATCTTGTAAGCTTGGAGCGTGTTGAAATTTCTCTCAGCCAATCCATGAGGACATGAGGACACATTGCTTTGCGCGCAGGTACTCGGATCACATCAAAGAAAACCCCGGCACGCTGGTGGTTCGTTTTTTGGGCCTCCACTGCTTGAGGGCGCAGAAGTCGCGGAGGCCAGTGCTGCATTGAATATGTTGAAACTCGGCTGTTCAATGCATTGAATGTTAGCATTTGTTAACATCTGTTGACATCTGACCGTTGGCTCAGGCCAAAGAAGAACCTGTACTTCGTTGTCATGGTGCGAGCCCGAGGGACAAAAGAAAGAAGGCCCGAATGCACGGCGAGGCCCTAAGGTCCCAAACCGAGGCTAACATGTTCAACACTCCCTGCGAAATTCACCGACGGTATGACCTGAAGGGCTCTTGGGCGCCAAGCTCAGGGATTTCCTCGTTCACGTTCTTATTGCATGTTGCATATTGCATTGGTTCAATATCAGCTTTCTTGGCTTCACGTGTTGACGTGTTAACAAATCTTGACCTGCAGGTGGGAAGGGTGACATTGCCGGAGAACCGAAATTCCCATATTGCCCTCAAGGCCAGGTATATCAATGAAAGGAAAGCATCCAGCTTCTGTTCAGCAAGGATGTTGACTTCCAGCAAGCCAACGAGAAGATTATTGTTGGCAAGGAGTCACAACTTCACATGTCACAATGCTTGGGCCATGCCGAGAGCGCTTGTAGGAGCGCAAGTCGCTGCTGGCGCAGATTCGCCGCGACAGCTGCCACCTTAGCTTACACTGAACACTTCATGAGTGTACTCAAAGCAGGCGAGTTTCTGGCCAGCAACAATATCATTGACTATTCCCTCCTTCTGGGAATCCACGACAAGGAGAAACAATGGAGGTAAATCAAGTCAGTTAAGAGCGCGGTTGCTCCAATGACAGGACAGCGCTCTTGCTGTACAGGTGAGATCTTCGAGCGCTCAGTGTGCTTGGATTCGGGTAGGCTGTGTGTGTGAGGCCAAAGGCGAAGTGCTTGGCTTTGTGTCCGAGGATTCCAGGCTAGCTCGCATGTACATGCCGAACTAAAATTCACATGAAAGGACGATTTACTTTATGGGCATCATTGATATCCTGACTCCATTTGACAAGATGAAGAAGCTGGAGCACACGCTCAAGGACGCTTCCGGGCAGGCTTCGTGGCATGCCATTGGCGTGCCATTGGCATTGTCAGGCTCTTCGTCACGATTGGCATGGCGTTTCCTGCTGTCCACCGTCATTTTACGCGAGCCGCTTCTGCAATTTCATGGAGCGTGCCTCTTGGTGAGCGTTAAGACTGACTGCTGACTGTTCAGACTCTTGGTTTCAATCCAGGGATGCGCAAGCAGGCCGTGCAAGTCGTTTCGCACTTTGCTTGAATCACCAATCCCAGGCATTTGGTTAGCTTTGTGGCATCGCACGAATCTTGCGATAGTTATCTTCGCGCCTCACTCAAAACGAGTGCGGCAAGACGTAAGTGCAGTAGTGGATGCATGTCCATCTCCGCAATGTTTGCGGTGCTTAGGATGTCTCGTCACGTCAAGTCAGTTGATTGCAACTTGTACAGATCGCATATGGGCTCTGCAGAAATGAGGCACTGCTGTGAACGGAGCAGTCAGCCTGACAGCCTGATTTTGCACCCTATTGCTTGTTATTGATTGTAGTCGTGCGAGTGGATTGCCTTGAATGCAAGCAGGGCCTGTCAGTGACAGCTTCTCGTAGGTGCCATGTTCGACTCACGAAAGCTGGTCGGGCTTGGCCAATGGTTCAAAAAAGGCAGCCCATTGCAACGATCGATTGATCGATTGTTTGTTTTGCTGTTGACTAGTTTGAACTCAGGCAGCCAGTGCCTTTGCATTTGGCCTTGTTGGGCTTGCCTCACCACCAGTTCTTGGCACGTGGTGCCAACCGCAGTCCGCTCATTTGTTGGGGTGGCTCAGAGTTAAGTATTTTAATCTGTTTTGGTATGTTTGAGTATGTTTGGGTGCGTATTTGCTTGCAGCAAAAGCATTTGTTGGGAACCTTGCTTGGACAACTTGTACGTGAGCACTTGCAATCAGTTGGGTCTGTGCTTGCCACGCCCATGATGCCATGCCCTCATTGCAGCTGGTACAAACTCGATCGGGAGGAGCAACAAGTCAATAAGATTCAACACTCGCACAATTTAAAGACGGCGACGCAAACAAATAGAAGTACCGTGAAACATCGTGAAACATTGCAACGTCATGTCGCTTCCGAGGCGGGGACAGCATACATTCAGCATTCTTTCAGACCTTGGCGCCACAGGAATCTGCGGCACATCCAGGCCTTGGCGAAGCAGCAAGCCAACACCGTAACACTCGGGCAGCTCCTGAGGTGCGCTGAGCATTTCGTCTCTTTCCCTGTCTCAGACTGCTTCTCTCACTCAGAACCACACGGTCTGACCCGACCTCTTTGATCCGTCAGGCACGCGGAGCTGATGTGCCGGATTTTCAACGAGTTGGTTTGAAACGAATTGTGGTGTAAGACAGTTTTTCGGGTGTAGCTTGGGCTTTGTCAATGATCAGTTGGGTTGTCTTTAGCTTCTCGCGTTTGAAGCTTTTCGCCTTGCCTTGAGTTCTTGCATGTTGCATGTTCTTGCATGTTCTTGCATGTTCTTGCATTTGAACATTTTGCATTTTGCATTTTGCATTTTGCAATTGTTGCAGTTGCATGGCTCAGGGCCAATGGCTTCGAAGCCAGCTCCCGATTCGCTTTGCCCGGCGGCTGGATGAGTTTCTGCAGCTCCCGCGCCCTGAGCTCGTCCGTTTCTTTCAATTTTCAGAAAACTTTCAGGTATGTCGTAGTCCACAACAGCAACATCAAGCAGGCTTTGGCTCACGGCAAACGGGAAGCCGCGATTCGAAGCCGCGAAGCTGGCGGAATGTGTTCAGGTCTTTGACATCTACATAGATACTTTTGAGAGTGTCTCCGATTTCCCCACCATCATTACGGAGAGAGACGAGGTGCTTGTTGTGTACAAGGATTTTCTCGGGGCCTTTTCAAGCGGAAAGGCAGACTTTGTCTCCCTGATCCGAGCACAGCTGGAAAAGCATCAGCAAGTAGCCACGGTCTCAGAGATAAGACGAGGCAAGACAGCCGTAGGCTGCAAGCAAAGTCTCCCAATGGACACCCGCTAGGCCCGCTTGGTGGCAGAAGGGTATCGAGAGGCGCGAGCTATGCCAGCCTTTTGGAAGATTAAACTGAGCTTGCACATTGCATTTCCATGTTTCGTGACACGGTCACTTTTCACCTATCCCTCCTACAACGACGTGAGTTCGGGGTTGATGATGGCACCTCCAGCAACTTTTTTGCGTGTTGAAGAAATGTATAGCCCAATACGCCAACAGTTGTACAGTTGTGACTGACGATATGGCAAAGCTATTTTGTTAGCCCTCCGGAAAAGCCGGCAAAGGCAAGGCGGCCGAGCCAGCGGCCGACCTTCCTGAGGAGGAGCCTCAGCTGGAGGAGCCAGCAGCTGAGGCAGACGACAGCGGCTGAGGGTGAGGATCAGCCGAATCCAACAAGACAGAGGTGGAGACCATGGTGGCCAGACTGAAAGCAGAGGAGGAGCTTGACAAGGAGAAGAAGAAGTCAGAGGAGCCTAGAAAGCCGACCAAGAGGCAGAAGAAAGGTTGGATCACCCGGGTCGATAGTGATTCGTGCCCTTGGCAGCGTGCCCTGACTGTTGACCCTGGCTGCAGTGGCCGACCAAAGAGCCCGCCAAAGGCAGCTGCACCAGCAAAAAGCAGCAGCCGTTCCAGCATCAGCAGCAGAGGAGGAGGAGCCGAAATTATGATGGCTGGGTGCCTGGTCCATCAGGGTCCGGATCAAAATTATGATGAACTATGATAGGTCTGGGCTGGCCCAGCAAGGGCTAAATCAAAATAATGACAAATTATGGTGGCTGGGTGCCTGGTCCATGAGGGTCCGGATCAAAATTATGATGAACTATGATAGGTCTGGGCTGGCCCAGCAAGGGTTAAATCAAAATAATGATAAATTATCGTGGCTGGGTGCCTGGTCCATCAGGGTCCGGATCAAAATTATGATAAACTATGATAGGCCTGTGCTGGCCCAGCAAGGGCTAAATCAAAATAATGATAAATTATGATGGCTGGGTGCCTGGTCCATCAGGGCCCGGATCAAAATTATGATGGACTATGATAGGTCTGGGCTGGCCCAGCAAGGGCTAAATCAAAATAATGATAAATTATGATGGCTGGGGGCCTGGTCCATCAGGGTCCGGCGGATCAAAATTATGATGAACTATGATAGGTCTGGGCTGGCCCAGCAAGGGCTAAATCAAAATAATGATAAATTATGATGGCTGGGTGCCTGGTCCATCAGGGTCCGGCAGATCAAAATTATGATGAACTATGATAGGTCTGGGCTGGCCCAGCAAGGGCTAAATCAAAATATTGATAAATCATGATGGCTGGGTGCCTGGTCCATCAGGGTCCGGATCAAAATTATGATGAACTATGATAAGTCTAACCTGGCCCAGCAAGGGCTAAATCAAAATAATGATAAATTATGATGGCTGGGTGCCTGGTCCATCAGGGTCCGGATCAAAATTATGATGAACTATGATAGGTCAGCAAGGGCTAAATCAAAATAATGATAAATTATGATGGCTGGGTGCCTGGTCCATCAGGGTCCGGATCAAAACTATGATGAACTATGATAGGTCTGGGCTGGCCCAGCAAGGGCTAAATCAAAATAATGATAAATTATGATGGCTGGGTGCCTTGAAACTATGATAAACTATGATAGGTCTGGGCTGGCCCAGCAAGGGCTAAATCAAAATAATGATAAATTATGATGGCTGGGTGCCTTGAAACTATGACAAACTATGATAGGTCTGGGCTGGCCCAGCAAGGGCTAAATCAAAATAATGATAAATTATGATGGGTGGGGGCCTGGTGCATCAGGGTCCGGATCAACAATTATGAGAAACTATGATGGCCCATCAAGGTCGAGGTCAAAGTATGAAAAATAATGATAGCGGGTGGCTGTCCGCGCACTGGGCTGTGTCACTGCATACTTAATTAATAATATTCCGCACCAGGCACACGTGCGCGTCCACGCGCATGCGCACGTGGGAAAGCAAGTCTGTCACCAGCCCTTGGCGTCCTTAGCTCCGGCCCAGGCCCAGTGCCCTCAACCCTCATGCAGGGCTAAGCCACTTTTTCAAGTGGACCTATCCTGGCAGTCGCGGAGGTTTTACCTGACAGTAAGGAGGCTGTGCCTGACATGTCCTTAGTGGAATGGCAATGGTCATGTGTCATGTCCTGATAGACATGGCTCAGTGGGCAAGCGTGCTCAATCCAAGTTTTCAAGCTGAATTAAACGGATGATTTGTGGGCCGCCCTACCCCACTCCCCCTGTCTGCTCCCCTCCCCACATACACCATTCGTCGAATCGTGCCTTGAGCCAGAAAACTTTGTATCCATGTGCTCTCTCACGTTCAGGAACGCAGTTCGGCTCATACTCGAGGATGGTGGAGCATTCATGGCAGTAGCCCTGCACGTAGCTCAGGAATCGACTGTTCCCGAATGGCTTAGGATTATCGTCATCCTTCCTCATTCATCTGCTCCATGGGGATGTCATCAACCTTCTCTTCGACGCAGGTTTGCTGAGAAATGGCGTGTCAACACAGGTACTGTACACACAAGATCGATTGGTCGGAATGTTGAAAACCAAATTGGCTGCGGATGCAGACACATATTTCTTGAGTTTCAAGAATGGCTGAACGCACAAGGTCAACACGGATTGAGGAATTGAGAAATCAAAAAGGACAAATCATACATCAAATTCTGTGGACGTGTCGGTCATGCCCAGGTTCCCCAATAAGCAAACATGGATTCTGCTATCCTGCGAAAGCAATGATGTCGGGCCCGTGCTTTGTATTGTGCGCGAGCCACTCAACCAAGAATGCCTTCTTCTGCAACATGGTACGAAATGGAGGATGTGCATCAACATTCAAAAGGTTGCCCGTGAGGACGGCCTTAATGAGCTCGTCTTGTTTTGTTGAATGTTTCGTCAGCGAATCGTCTAGGCAATCTTCGCTTCGTACATGCGCAAGACCATGCATCTGTCCGCTACTACTTTCCGGTCGCAACAGTTGGATCAAGTGCATTGTTTCCTTCCAATGCTCCTTGGATGCGCACCTGGAGAATTGACAGCCAATGTGGAATTGTGTTCGTGATTGTAACCAGTTGATCTGACCTAGAAAACTTCTGTATACAGGATGCATCTGTGTCCCTAACCAATTTATGGGGTCTAGATTCATGGGTCTAGATTTGGGGGTTTTTAGCTATCTCGAATTATCTCGAAGAGGTAGGCAAGGTTGAAAGCAACTTGCATTTTTGAAATTTGGTTTTGCATTTTTGTTGTTTTTTTGACATGTGTGTGTTCAGGAATGCCGTTCTCGATTATCTCGAGGATGTAGGCGAGGTTGAAGGCAACTTGCTTTTTTGGCACTTGGTTTCGCATTTGTTGCTGTTTTCACATGTGTGTGTGTTCAGGAGTGCCGTGCATTATGTTTTGACAAACAACGCAAACAACACAAACAACAAACAACAAACAACAAACAACAAACAACACAAAACAAACAACAAACAACAAACAGCAAACAGCAAACAAGAAACAACAAACGACAAACGCAAAACACACACACACGACTACCACAACAAACGCAACAAACACAACAAACACAACACACACACAACAAACGCAACAACAGCAACAACAGCAACAACAACACCACCACCACCAACAACAACAACAACAGCAGCAGCAGCAGCAAAAGCAACAGCAACAAACAACATCAAACAACTAACAACAAACGACAACAATCAGCACAACACGCAAAAACAACAACTATTACCACTCCAACAACAACTGCATCTACAACAGCGACCGCCACTACAACTACAACTGCGACTACAACTACAGTTGCAAGTGCAACTACAAGAAACGACGACTACAACTACGATTGCGACTACAACTATGACTACAACCACAACTACAACTGCAACTACAACTACAACCACAGCTACAACTACAACTACAGCTACAACTGAAACTACAACTGCAACTACAAGTGGAATCCCCGCTACAACTAAAACTACAACTGCAACTACAACTACAACTGCAACTACAACGACAACTACAACGACAACTACAAGTACAACTACAACTACAACTGCAACTACAACTACACCACCACCACAAACAACAAAACAAACGAACGAACAAACAAACAGGCAAACCCACAACAAACACCAAACAACAAACAACAAACACAAACATACCAACAACCAACAACGAACAACAAAACAAAAACAAACAACAAACACTGAAATACCAACAACCAACAACAGTAATTTAGTAATGCATGGGCACACGCGCGGCTTGGAGGGGGGGGCGTCGGCCATTTTTGGGCGGTCGCTTTCGAGCCTCACGCGCCACATTGGTGGTATGCGCTAGAATGAACAACGATCTCAAGTTATTTCAAGGCACATGTGTTTATCTCAATCGATTTTAGACGCTCGCTTCAAACCCTATCTCAAGTTATCTCGTTTCATCTCACCCTAAACTCTACCTCAAAGCATCTCTCCCAAACCCAACAGGCCATTGAACCCTTGTCGACGAGGTTTGAAGGGTGGGCTCGTTTGAGGTTTCCGAGGCCCCAAGAAATTTTAAACGCGCCCGCCCAGTTGTTCCACGTCACAAAGTGTATCAAAGTATCCCAAATTGTCTAAATTATTTCCAATCAACGCAAATTATCGCAAATTATCTCAAAACACTCACCCAGACTCTATCTCAAATTATCTCAAATTATGTCAAATTATCTCAAAACACTCACCTAGACTCTATCTCAAATTATTTCAAATAATCTCAAATTATCTCAAAACACCCACCCAGACTCTATCTCAAATTATCTCAAATTATCTCAAATTGTTTATCTCAAATTATCTCAAAACACCCACCCAGACTCTATTATCTCAAATTATCCCAAATTACCTCAAATTATCTCAAATTATCTCAAAACACTCACCCCAGACTCTATCTCAAATTATTATCTCAAATTATCTCAAATTATCTAAAAATTATCACAAATTATCTCAAATTATCTCAAATATGCATGTGACATGAAGTGAGTTGAGATATTTTGAGATGGCTTTCCCGAAAAGTGGCGGGCATAGACTGTGAACAAGCTGAAAGTTGTGAGACTCTTTCAGGTAAATTTGTTAAAAAGTGGCGGGGGCATACCGAGAATGAGTTGAGACTTTTTGGACACTCGGATATAACTTTGTTAAGCAGCTTTGGGCCCACACAGTCAACAAGCTGAGCACGTTGAGGCACTTTGAGATAAACTTGCCAAAAGGTTTTTAATTTTGAGGGAATCTTGATGGAATGTTTAGGGATTTCATGGAATTGTGCGGGAATCTTGCCGGAAGTTCAAAGGAAAATTGAGGTGATTTTGAGAGGATGTTGAAGGACTTGTGTGGGAATTGCGCGGCAATTATGAAGGACATTTGCAGGAATGCTGAGGTGTTTGTTTGTATGTTGATGGGGTTTTGATGGAATTTTGATGAAATGTTGTTGGGATTGTGAGGGAAGTGTACTGGATTTTCGAGGGGAACGCGCTGGGATTTTGAAGGAAATGTGATTGAGGTGAACGTGGAGGGAATTTTGGGATTTCGAACAAGGCCTCGCGGGATTTTTGATGGAATTCCGAGGGAATTGTTGAGGGAATTGTTGAGGGAGTTCTGAGGGAATTGTGAGGGAATTGTGAAGGAATTTTGAGGGAATGGGGAGGGCAATTTTGGAGCCTTTTCGTCAATGATTGATATTGACAAAGGGTATTACTGCAAGCCATGATCAGGCCCGTTCATCTTCTGGAAAAATCAACAACTTAAGGCGGCGCAAGCAGAACAATTGGGTCTAACTGTTGCTAATGCGAACGCACAAGGGTAAACAACAAACACAACACACACACACGACTAACACAACAAACACAACACACGCAACAAACACAGCGTACACAACAAACACAACACACGCAACAAACGCAACAACAGCAACAACAGCAACAGCAACAACAACACCACCACCACCCCAACAACAAGAACATCACCACCACCACCGCCAACAACAACAGCAGCAGCAGCAGCAGCAGCAACAGCAACAGCAACAGCAACAAACAACAAACAACAAACAACAAACAACAAACAACACCCAGCAAACAACTAACAACACACAAAAACAACAACTACTACCATTACAACAACAACTGCAACTACAACAACAAGCGCAACAACAACTACAACTGCAACTACAACTACAGTTACAAATGCAACTACAAGAAACGACAACTAACTACAACTGCAACTGCAACTACAACAATAACTACAACTACAACTACAACTGCAACTACAAGTGCAACTGCAAGTGGAAATCCATCTACGACCGCAACTACAACTACAACCATCACTACAACTACAACTACAACTGCAACTGAAGCTACAACTACACCACCACCACAAACAACAACAAAACAAACAAACAAACAAACAAACCAACAAACAAAACAAAACAAACAAACAAACAAACAAACAAACAAACAAACAAGCAAACAAACAAACACAACAAACAAACAAACAAAGAAACAAAGACACAAACAAACAAACAAACAAGCAAACACAAACACAAAACAACAAACAACAAACAACAAACAACAACCTACAAACAAACAACAACAAACAACAAACACTAACATACAACAACCAACAACGAGCAACAAACAGACAACACCCACACACACACACCAGGCCCTTCTCAGACAACATACTTTTACCAACGGATTTGGAGGCATCGTCGTGCATTTTTGTAGAATTATGGGATGCATTGTTGTCATCATGGTTTTAGTGCTTGCCATGCCCGACATTCATTTTGATGTTGCTTTTTGCATTTCTTGCAGTTTGTGGCATTAGTTTGTTGATTTTGTTTTTTGCATTTCGTGCACGTTGTTTGCATGCTGTTTTGCACTTCTGTGTGTGTTGCTTTTGTTTTTTGTTTTTTGCATTTTTTGCATTTGTTTACATTTTTTGCAGGTTTTTGCACTTTTTGGCACTTTTTTGCACTATTTTGCACTTTGTTGCATGTTTTTGCATGTTTTTGCATGTTTTGGCATGTGTTTGCACGTTTTTGCATTTTCTTGCACATTAGATGCAAACATAAGATAGTTTGAGATAATTTCAGATAATTTGAGATAATTTGACATCTTTCAGGTTCTTGTCAAATGTGATCACCTGAAGTTCATCAATGATGTACCAACCGTGCTTGTCGCCATGCTTAATCATTCTTATCTTTGGAACCAACTTGGAAATCTTTACGAAGTCGTCCAAAGATCTCCCTGTACACATCATCACCAGTCATAAGAAGATCATCAACATGAGGAGGTAGTGCTCCATGAACGTGGCGTCGTTACCGGAAACAGGGCCCATAAGGTTATCAACTGCGCCTTCTAAATCGAATGCGCTGGATGATTTCTTTTTGCTGACCGGTGTGGATTTCGGAGGCTGTTTACCGTAGGAAACATATGTACAACGATCTGCTCGTGCTGGGACTAATCCGTATGAACGGAGTGCTGAATCTAGGATGTTCCGCGTGGTGCATCATTCAGCCCGTAGGCAGGTTTCTTCATGCGAGCACCAACGCGTGGGGGATATCCCATGTCAGGAGGGATGTGGCAAATGATGTCACGATTCTGATCATATGCTTCTCCTTGGAGAAATGCTGTCGTTCCAGCCTTTGTTTGCGGCCGCTTGGATCGCAAGGCGGAAACCACTCCAGTTCGGTAACACACCAACATCAAGACCTTGAAGGAAATGCTGGCGCTGCTGGAAGCGTAACCAACCTGGCACAGGTTTATCCTTACCAGTTCTGCCAGGATCTCGCGCGCATCATCCTGCGTCACCTGAAGGTGAAACCGCTTGTGACAACGAAGTGTACCTTCTCCGAGCAACAGAGTTTGGGACTTATAAGTGCCCGCGTCGAAATGCCCTCCAAAGAAGCGCACGTGAAGACCTCGCGGAGGAGAAAGCCAAGTAAAAGGAAGCCCTTCAGGCCAAAAGAGGAGCGCAAGGAGTGTGGAAGAAGACATGGCGGCGGCTCTGGACTTTGCCGGAGACCGAGGCAGACGAAGAGGTGCGCGCAGAAGGTTCACAACCAGGTCCCACGAGGTTCTGCCAGGGCGGCAGGGTGGTTCGGCGCGGCCCTGAGGTAAGGTTTCTTCGAAGCGGTTGCGCGCAAGGGTGCGAGGTTGCGCGGGTTGCGCGGGGTGGTCACCATGGCTATGGGGTGGCCCGGGCACTGGGGCACAAGGGTTCCACAAGCAAAACTGGCGGTGCGTTGTGATTGGTGGCTTGTCGTGATGTACTCCCGGGCCCAGTTGGCACCGTCGTGCCCCGGTCGGGCACCTTCGGCTGCACCTTCCCAGACAAAGCGACAAAGCAAAACCGCCGCGCTATGATTGGTGGCTTGGATTGGTGATTTGCTGCCCGGACTGTGCGATCGGGCCCGAGCGCAAAGAAGAGCACCGCATGCTGTTTGGGCATATCACCTGAGCTTATTTGCTTCCCAGCAAACCACTCCATAGGGTGCTCTCAATGGAAGTTCGGCTCCAGTTCAATGTGCCAGGTTCGGCACAACTATCCCCACTTCCGCCTGGACAGCTTTTTAGACCGCCGCCCGGCATGAGGTGCAAATGCCCGTGAGCCTGCGGCACTTTTACCTTTGAATGCGTGTTTTATACTTGGCAGCCGCGAGGTTTATTCATCACCCGCATCTCCGCAAGAATTCTGATGGAGACTTGGTACATTCTAGTTGGTGCAGCGTAATTTTTGCTTGCTTTGTGGACAGTTTCAGTGCCAGAGCAGCTAGGAAAACTACATTCGCATGCGCACTCCGCAGGAGGGCCACATAGGCTGGTTTGTGTGTGCGTGAGCCATTGTAGACGCGTGAGAGCGTGAGTAGCAAACATGGGAGACAGTTTGATTCAAATCTGCAGGTGTTGTTCAAAAGGAGCTTTCTCCGCTTCGTGTGTTGCAGGCACGGTTGCTCCAGGAAGCCATGTTGAATTGAACGAATGGAAGAGGGCTGCGAAACTGAGGATTTGAGCACCGAGATCACTCGTCTTACAGAGGTTCCATTCGATTTCCAACATGTCTATGCGCTCGCAGAGCTTGAGGCGATCTATGGCGTAGCCCCGGAAATTGAGCAATGGCCTTGAGACTTTTCTCAAGAGCCTTAGGCTGTGAATGGCCAAGGTTTCGGGGCAACCTGACCTGCACGCTGGATTACATTCCCAGACACGTACAGTTCATGTGTCAGGACAGGGATGGATTCGTTCCAGGTCAGCATGAATGGGCGCATGCTGACCGGCATGCGCAGAGTTTGCCAGAAGAGCTTGGAGCAACCAGGAGCTGCTGAAGAACGCAGTACGCGCCACCACAGAACGTCACAAGCACCAGCCATAGTGAGAAAGCTGAAGAAAACTGAAGCAGATCTTGCCCAATTTCTGGCATGCTCTTTGAATCTCAGCCAAACCCAGGCCGCGCAATCTCGCAGGTTTCGGCTTCACTTCAGAGCGCATTGGCATGCAGACGCCAGTAAACTGCTTATTTCAACATGGGCTTTGAGGCTTGGCTTTGTGGCGGATCACCTGAGGCCGGCAAGTATTCCAAGAGTTGCTGCTGCCTCACGTAGAAGATTCAGGGTGCGACTGTCAAGACCAGAGCTTGTGAGGCCGTTGAATTGCAGAAGGGCGATGTGCATGTGATCATCAAAATCAGCGACCAGGACAGGTTGTCAGATCATTCAAAGATTGGGCCAAGCATAGAAATGCAGGCATTTCTGAATGTCAGCCTAATGTGTCGTCCTGGCAGGGCGGCGGAATGCCAAAAAAGATTCAGGAAGAGGCTGCAGACAGATGTGCACATATATATATGTATATATATGTGTGTGTGTTAATGTACATCCATCCTTGTACATGACCCTGGCCTTTGTAGATCAAGGCCTTGAGCCTATCTACATGATAGAGCCTACAGCCCTCGCCCGCAGTGACAACAAGTGCCGCGCTGACGCATCACAGGTTTGACACATTTAGGCCATCAGGTGTTTACACAGTTGATTCCACTTTAACATGGTAGCGGCGGAGCAGTGGTCCCTGGCACACGATCCTCGACCACAACCCAGGGTGAGCTCCATCACACACCCACAGGTTCAGGTACACAGTAGTGAGCAACATGGCACAACAACAGCAGCAACAGGAACAACAGCAGTTGGAAGGAATCCACAGGTACAAGATATCACCACCACGGTTCACAGGAGAATACAACACCTTCGAAGAATGGAAGTACAAGATGACAGCATACTTGGGATTACAAGACCCAGCACACAACAGACTGCAGTTACAAACAACAGGACAGAGCAATCAACAGGACAAATTACAAACGACCAACTTGAGAACGCAGCACCTTCACAAGCAGTAGCAGAGCAACGGGTACAACTGAGCAACAATCTGCACTACCTCTTGGTGAGCACATGCGACGGACCAGCATCTACAATCTGCAGGCAAAACATGCGAGGCAACGGATTTGAAACATGGCGGCTGATACATACAAGATACTCCATACCTACGAAGCATTGGGCACCTAACAAGGTTACTCAAACCACAACTTGATGGGCAGAAGTTCGAAGAGAGCTTCACAACATGGGAGTTTCAACTCTCCAGGTACGAACAAGACAACAGCACACTACTACCAGATGCAGTCAAGATGGCAATACTGCAAAAGGACCACTACAGCAACATCTACAACTTCAAGCAGGAAACATCACAACATATGCACAGATCAGATCAATTGTGATCGAGTACTACAGAGCAACAGCATCATTCACCAGGCTACAAGCAATCACATCAGGCAACAACAGTCAAGGACCGGCGGCAATGGACATAGGAGCAACATGGTGCAACAAAGGAAAAAGAAAGAAGGGCAAGCGCAAGGGCAAAGGAAAGTACAACAAAGGCAAAGGCTACGTCAACTACAGGAACAACTACAGCAACAACAACTACAAAGGAGGAAAAGGCAAGTACAGTCAACAACCGGTTGGACAAGGAAATCCACTCAAAGGACAACATGGATATGGCAAAGGAAAAGGATACAGCGCCAAAGGAAAAGGCAAAGGATACTACAACAACCAACCAGGAGGAAAAGGAGCAAAAGGAAAACAAGCAACAAATGTTTGCTACAGATGTGGACAACCAGGACACATGGCCAAGCAATGCAGAGTGGCGATCTGCAACTGTGACACAGGAACCTTCGCCAATGACCAGACAGATGACTGGTGCAACCAACAACTGGTACCATCAGGATCAGTCACAGATGCACCATCTGGCGCTACCACAACCACCACAGGTAGCAGATCCATCAGCAGTACCTATCTCAGAATTACATGAAGTAACCATCGCCACGATTGGCGCAACACAGCAACCGCAACAAGACAACAAATGATAAATGGGTCAGTCTCATGATTGACAGCGGTGCGGCTACACATGTATGCCCACTATGGTTTGCATCACAATTTCCACTACACCAACTAGCGCATGGCGCAGGACCACAACTGCGAACAGAGACCAACCAGCGCATCAAGCTTCACGGGTACAGGTGGGTTTGCGTGACAAACCACAGCGGACAACAGATTGTCGTACCATTTTACGTTTGCGAGGTTAAACAGCCAATTCTTTCTGTTGCAAGGCTGGTGGAACAAGGTTTCCAACTTACACTGGATGACAATCCAAGACTACAGCGCATCAAAGGCTTCAACAGCACATTGGAGAACAGAAATGGCCTGTTCTTCCTACAAGCAGAAATCACAACATTGCCAAAAGGACCAAAGCTACAGATACACAACACAGAACAAGGACAGATTGGCATGATAGCACCGACCACAACGCTTACACCACAAGGTCCTGCAGAGACAGGATATGCAGGAGACTACTGGCAGTTCAACACACAAGGAGAATTTGTCAGAGCACACAGGCAATACAGGAAGAAACTTTTCACACCATCAGCAACTAGAGGATTACAGGAGAACAACAACCAGGTCCAAGGACGGCGCAACAAATACATTTGAGGACAAGCATCAAACAACAGAAGATCCAAACAAAGCACAACCACAGATGTGGAAGGGCGAGACAGCCTTCAGGATCAAGAAAGGTACAAAGTTGCCAGAAACGCTACAGCAACAGTTCACGACAAAGACACAGCCAAGGAGCGAGCCGCAGTGGATCACACCACACGTGATTCACTACAACCCACTAACGAGGTTGAGAGAGAAAACGACACCACCGCTACAGGAGTCAGCAGCGCCACACACCACCAAAGGTGCAGCTGGACAAGGAATTCCACATCTTTCAGAAGCACATCCTGGAGGAGACTACTGGTACAGAGAAGGCCCATACTGGAAGAGAGTACATGTTGAGCCTAGAACAGCGCTTTACATACCAGAGCAGACACATGACGGGCCAGACACCAAGCGACTCATACCTTGGAGACAGACCAAGCTACAACCAGTTGGACGAGGATAGAAGATGAATGGACAACACAGCCAGCAAAGACATCGGACAAGCCTTGGACAGGCTGGACAAACTTTGAGGAACATCAGGAGTTCCCAACACAACTTGAGTCAGATGATGAGGAACAACAACAAGGTACAAAAGCAAAAGCAGTACAAGCACCCAAGGAACCAACACCACAGGAGATACTCGAGCGCAACGTGACACATCTCCCTTACAGGAGTTGGTGTCCAATATGCGTACAAGCAAGAGGCAGACAGAACAATCATCCAAAGCAACACAGCAAGCTTCCAATCATACAGCTTGACTTCGGCTACATCAAAGGCTTTGATGATAGCGGCGCGCATCCAATTCTCACAGCAATTGACATCCAGTCAGGGATGATCATGGCACTACAACTGACAGACAAGAGAATGCTTTTCGACTATGCAGTCACACAGCTGCAGCACTTCCTCATTGAATGTGGACAGACAACACACACGATACTACAATCAGATCAGGAAGACTTCGCTCACAACAGCAGTGGCCAACAAGAATGGCAACATCACCACAAGGAACTCAGGAGCACACAGTTCAGAATTACAGTAGAGCGAGCACACAGAACCTTGTTTGCGCAAATCAGAACTGCTAAGAATCTCCGAGCCGCAGGCTAAAACATCCTAAGGGCAGGTTCTGAGGGTCACCCTGTTACTTCCCCTTGTTTAAGGTCCTAAACCTTTGAGGGAATCGTTTTTGTGCATTTGGCCCACGACCTTGACAATAGAATCGAGGCAAACATCCAAACACAGCTTTTGAAGCAAAGCAAAAGGGTTCGTATTCCGCGGTCGCATCGAGTCGTGACGACGCAGATCATTTACCTTACAACCCCCTTTTACCACGACCACTACTATACGACTCACTGTCGAGGGTATTGATCACCCCACAGGACAACTGCCTTGTCGTTTGACTACGCGGTTGCTTGAAAGGTCAAGGTTTCTGGGAGGAATCGACCTCTCTTTCTTTTCACCACCTTAAGGACGTGTTAGCCTAGACAACGTCTCTCCCTTCCCCCCGGGTTACCAGCCGTAAGTTCAAAATTGGTCCTTGCGGTGGATTGCAACTGCAGTACAACACAACCTTTTGAAATATATTTACAGTCGTACAATGGATTCTTCCGGAAGCCCGGGAACTGCAACATTCGGAAATGACAGTTCCAGCGGTTCCACAGGTATGCTTGCAGTGCCGGCGATTGCAGACTCTCCGGACACCCAACAAAGTGCAATGCAAGTTCTGGTACTGGCCACGACCTATCACATTCATCCTGGAAAGAAGCTGGTCATGCCGTGTTAAAACCCCTCCTGGCCCCGTGCCTAAATTGGGAAGCAGTTCTGAGGTCCGTGTTTGTGCTGCTTACAAGGTTCCCTTGATTGCCATTTGGCTCAAGTCACAAGTGAGGTTCAAGATCTTATGCGAAGCTGCGTTCATACGTGATCGGCAATTGAGAGCGGAAAACACTTCGCTTGCGCTGCATTTGTCAGGACCACTGTTGTAACTATTATTCCTTCTCCCTTACAACAGTCACACGGGTTCGGCTATAACGGTTTGACCGTATACACCTTTCTACGTGGTTGGTATTTACAGCTGGAGGGTTCGGTGGACAGCGTCCCACGGGACGTCACCTTGCCGTCTCTTGACAGGTTATCAGCCGTAACGACAAGCTCTACGCTGGACAGAGAGACAGCTGGTTTATTGCGGGTACAGGGACAATAAAGGAACAATAACCTACACGGTACAATGGCATCTTCAGCGAGCCCAAGTACTGCAACTTTTGGGAACAGCAGCTCAGAGGGATCCAATGGATTGATGGCTCTTCCTGTGACCCAATCAAGCCCAGCCAAGTGTTTCCCATCCAGTGCGTTCTTGATCTTTGATATGTTCTTCCGCAATCCCCAATTGTACTGCCATTCAACTCCACCCCAGCGGTTTCGAAGCATTGCTCGAATTCTCTTACCACCGGGCATCTGCAATGTCTGTGCCTCAGCCGGCGCAGAAATCTCAGATTCCTTACTTTTGGGGCCGTCTTTCTTCTTCTTGCCACCACCCTTCACCTCGGCCTTTTCTTCCTTGGTGTAGTATTTCCTCATCATTGCCCATTCATCGGGAGTGTACTCTGGAGGTCTCGTCGTCTTGATTAACCTGAAGCCATCTTTCCCGACAGGATATGGTCTTCCGGCCTTATCGATCTTAACCTCCTTGCCATCATCGTTGATGTACGTTATGCCGTCCCCAGGTAGTCCAGCTGACACATGTGGAAGGTCGGGCTTCGTAACTTCGTCGTCGCCCTTGGCGTGTCCATCCCTTTTC